ACTTCGTTGATCTGCCTGTTCTACTGCCCCCTCTGTCTCTGGTTAAGTCTCTCACTGCCCCTGCACCTCTGACTTGTACCCCAGTTCTGTAGGAATAAATAAATACATCCTAAAAAGAATGGCCCAATGTAATGAAGAATATTAATTCAGTAATGATCACAAAATAAGGCACACAAAAAGATGACACACAGAATTAAAGTCGTGTCATGGTCATTGAAATAGTGTTAAGAGAAGGGAAAAATCCTGTTGTTTCTGCTACTTGGGTAACATTAGGCAAATAGTTACCTTTGAAAGGAAATTATTAAGTCAGAGTCAAAACACTGGTAACACTGACTTTAGAGTGTCTACTACAATGGCAAGGGAAACAAAAGCAAAAACAAATGAGAATCAGTTAAAATAAAAAGCTTCTGCACAGTAAAAGATATTATCATTAAAATAAAGTGGCATTCCACTGAGTGGGAGAATATATTTGTAGGTCATACATCTGACGATGGGCTAATATCTGATATCTAATCTACATGAGGTCATATAGTAACTAGAAAACAAATAATCCGATCAAAAAATGAGACACTTCTACAAAAAAGACCTACAGATGGTTTACAGGCATGTGAAAAATGTTCATCTTAATGAAACAGTGCAGCAAGGGGCACTAAAGCTGGCCAAGGACACTACCCACATAGTTTACCAGTTACTGTCTGAGTTCTTTACCCACGTGCACAATTTCAAGGCTTAGAAAACAACAAAGGGATTTATTTAACAAACCAGGGAAAAGCAAAGAGTTACTGAGGCCAAAATTGGCCATTTACCTAACCCAACGCTGTGTCCAGTGTATTTCAGTCCTAAAAAAAAAAGCAGATAAAGTACCATCTTTCTGCCACTGAGAACACAGAGCTCCTCTCCCAAATAATAAGCCACATGTCCAAGATATAATGCAGCAGCCAGACTATAGGCCAGTTCCAACTCACAAAATCAGAAGACAAAAAAGGAGATATTCCATGAGCTGCTGGAAGCCCAAGAACGGCACCAGACAAGCAACACTCAAAACAACATCTACAGCAGTCAAATGACCTGACAAAAGGTGACATTCATGCAGTAAGACTCCTGGCTCCAGGTCTTCACCTTCTCTGCCTGTCTTCAACAGCAGCAATACCAGGAATAGTTTCAGTCACTGGGCTACTTGCGAAAACTCCAAACTTTTTTTCTCAAAACAGCAGCCACTATGGTCAAGTGACTGGACAAACAGCCATACTCATGTATCTAGTAAGATGCCTGGCTCTGGGTCTTCACCTTCTCTGCAAGACTGCAACAGCAACCAAAAACCACCTTAGTCAACTGGCTATTTGTAATGTCTCCAAACTTTTCCTCTCTGAGGTTGGCTGCTGAAAGCTTTCAAATTCGGAGGCCCACAACAGCTTTTTTTAGAAGATCAGTGCAAGGGGGGGGTCAAAATCCACTGACCCCCTCATATTTACTCCCCAAACATGTGAATAAATCCCACGCCCCATACTGTTGTCACTTGTATTTCTATCAGTTGATCCACCCCACTCTAATATTTTCCCAGGGGCTATCTAACCTCACTGGTAGCCATTCCAGAGGGTACCACCTATAACAATCTATTAATGTAATACTAGTTATATTAATATCAGGAAAATAGAAATAAAAACTACAATATCTCACACCTGTGAGAATGGACCATGTATAAAGACCAGAAACAAGTGGTAGGGCGTGTGTAGAGATAAGAGAGTCCTCCTGCACAGTTGATGGGATTGAAGACTGGTCTAGCCTCAATGGAAAAATGGTATGGCAGTTTCTCAAAACATTAAAAATAGGTCTACTGTGTGATCCATAAATTCCTCTACCCTCTATACTCAAAAGAAGGCACAAGAATTAATTTTAGGGATATATACACTCCTAAACAGCAGCAAGCTGTGAAAACCATCTAATGAAAGATGAGTGGATTAAGGAGGTGTGGACTATTCCACAGAAAAATTAATTAAAATAATAAACCAGCTTAGTAAAGTAGTAGCATACAAAATCAACACATAAAAATCAGAAGCCTTCCCTTATGCAAGCAATCAATCTGAAGAAGAAGAAATTAAGAAAACTATCTCATTTACAAGTAAAACACACAAAAAAATCATATACCTGGGAATAAACCAAGGAGGAGAGTGGCCTCTATATTGTTATAAAACATTGTTAAAATTATAAAACATTGTTAAAATAGAAGGAGATGCAAAGAAACGGAGACATTTTCTGCTCATGGATTGGAAGAATTAACATTATAAAAATAGCTATCCTACTGAAAGCAATTTTCGGATTTAACACAATCCTAATAAAAATCTCAATGACATTCTTCAAAGAAATAGAAAAAATGTGAACAAAATTCATATGGAGATGCAAAAAAAGAAAACCTTGACTAGCCAAAGCTCAGGAGATGTAAAAAGAAGATGGAAGCTTCACACTCCCAGACTTCACATTATACTACAAAGCCATAATAATTAAAAGAGTATGGTACTGGAACAAAAACGGACCCACAGACCTAATGAATAGTATTTTAAAAACAAAAATAAAATCACATATTTGTGGACAACAAATCTTTGACAAAGAAGCAAAGAATATGCAATGAAACAATGACAGTTTGCTCAATAAATGGTGCTGGAAAAACTGGATCACCACATGTAAAAGAATGAAACTAAACTACTACTCACACCACACACAAAAACAACACAAAATAGATAAAAGAATTGAACATAAGACCTGAAACTATTAAACAGATAGAAAAAAAAAATAGGCAAAACACTACATGACGTAAGTCTCAGTAACATCTTTAAAGACTCTTCCACCAAAGCAAAGAAAGTGAAGAAAAATATAAACAGCTGGGATTACATCAAACTAAAAAGGTTTTGTACAACAAAAGACATATTAATCAAAACAAAGAGATAGCCTACTGATTGGGAGAAAATTTTGGCACACAATACAACTGATAAGGGAATGATCATAAAGATTTACAAAGAGTTCACATAACTCAACAAAAGCAAAGTAAATAATCCAGTCAAAAATTGGACAAAAGAGCTAAAAGGACTCTTCTCCAAAGAGGAAATGCCAGCCAATAGGTATATGAAAAAATGTTCAATAACCCTCATAATCAGAGAAATGCAAGTCAAAACCACAATGAGATACCACCTTACACCAGTGAGAATGGCACATACAAAAAACACAGGCAACAACAAATGTTGTACAGTATGTAGGAAAAAAGGAACTAACTCTCCTATACTGTTGGTGGAATGCAAAATGTCCCAACCACTATGGTATGCTGTGTAGAAGTTCCTCAAACTATTAAAAATGGAGCTACCATAAGACCCAGCAATTCTACTCCTAACAATCTACCCAAAGGACACACAAGCATTAATTCAAGTGGATACTTGCACCCTTGTGTTTATTGCAGCACTAGTTATAATAGGCAAACTATGTCCAAATGTCTAAAAATAGATGACTGAATCAAGAAGATGTGGTGTATATGCACAATGGAGTACTATTCAGCAATCAAAAAGATAGACTCATGCTATTTGCAGCAATGTGGATTGAGCTGGTGGGAGCTATGCTTAGTGAAATAAGTTGGAAAAAAATATTGGGTGGTTTCACTTATAGGAGGAATGTGGGGGAATCAAATAAAGGATCAGAAAAAATAAATAGAAAACATAATTAACAGGCAACTATTGATTTATAGAATGTCTCTGATTTGAGACATTCTGCAGGGAAGGAAGAGAAAGAGTGATCAAACAGGGGAGGGAAGAGCACAAGGGGCTATGGTAATGATGCACAGGTGAACTGGTGCTGGAAATTTTATGAGGAATACACCTGTTAGGAGAAACCAAATATTGCACAAAAAACAATGATGTGTGTGTGTGTATGTGTATAAAACTAAAAAAAAAAGATATAGAATTTAGATGCAATGGAATACTACTCAGCTATCCATAAAGATGATATCTGATTATTTGTAACAACATGGGTGGAACTGGAAGGGATTATGCTAGGGAAGTAAGTCAGAAGGAAAAATCAAATTCCAGTCAATTTCACTCATACAAGGAATATAAAGAAACAGACAAAGCTAAACCAAAACAAACCTTTGAAATCTGACTGCAGAACTGAGGGCAGCAGAGGGGTGGGTGGGAGGTAGGGAGCAAAGGGGAATGGCTCCCAGTGAGCTGTGGTGAAGGATTACTGGGGAAGTGGAGGGGGGTGCAGTGTGCTAACATACTTTTGTATAAGGGTAAACCTATTTCCCTAAGTCTTATATAGTCTTGTAAACCAATATCACCTCAATAGCATAATTAAAAACAAAATAAAGGAGTATAATAAAGGAAAATACCTCAAAGAATTCAATTAGCATAATGAATGCCGAGCACTCACCTCAGTGCCTGATGCATGGGAAATGCTCAGTAAAGGCTGAATGTCTAGCCAGCCTGTTTAAACGCCTTTCTGAGTTCTTTGGTTGAAGCTCTTTTTCCTACTTCTGTTCTCTTTCACACAGTACTTTGTATTTGTCTTATGGAATTTGACACATTCTGTCTTGCAAATTGTTGTGGAATATTAGACCTTTGACTTAACTATTTCCCACTCAGGACTTGGCCACACTGAGTGTTTAATACATCGCTGTTTGTGGAGGTGCTTTCTTTCATGTGTTTGGTTTATAAAGTTCATTCCTATTTTCCTAGATAGGTCTAAAAGAACATCTACAGCCTCAATCAGTTGTAAATAATCCAACAAAACCTTTAAGATTATGGAACAAGAGGAAAAAGGAAACTTTAATATTATTGTGCCACGATTGTACTCAAGCTAGAGACACAGAAATTAGTCTTTTTTTTTTTTTTTTTTTTTTTCTGGAGCACGAGAGAAGACCCAAAGATGGGACAAGTAGTTACAGGTGTACGAACAGAAAGAGGAAGGGCTAAAGAGCACCCTTAGTTTGTTACAAGCAGGTAGAGGAGAGATGACTGACAATGGCAGGGAGACAGCCCAGGGGCGAATCAGAGAGGGACAAGGTGAGAGATGACACGCGGATCCTTCAGGATAACACTCCCTAGACCTGCTGTGGACGGCAAAAGTACCAGTGCAAAAATAGGGTTTTAAAGCTAGAATAGGGAAATAGAGTACTATGTGATCCTAGATATAGAGAGTTACAGGCCCATCCCCATGATTTCATTATCTTACTCAAGGCTGTTTGATGAAAACTGTGTCTGGAAAGACTAGCCTTTCTTTGAAATACTTATTTCCTTCCTTTTTAGAAACTGCGGCAGATCCTCTTTGGAAATACAGCACACGTCTTCAGTTGTGACTGGAAAAAGGCTTATTTCAGGTTCCATGAGTCTTTTCCTGACCTGTCTTTCACTCTGGAGATCGGAAAGGTAATAGCAGGTCTTACTTAAAAAAAAAAATACTATTCCCTCGTTCCCTGTATTCATGTTTCCCTCCATTCTCACCAATATGAATGTGTATTTTCATTATAATCATTTGGAGTCATTATTTGTAATTTAAATTTTAACCTAAAATGGTAACAGACTGTTGTAAAGTATACTGTCAGGGTGGTAGCACACTCTCAAACTTCTCTAAGCCTCCCCACATTCTACTTTTTCTGACTCTTCTGTCCAAGTTTTAAGCATCCCTGAGGATTTAGACAGCAGGAGGAGATATAGAAGCTTCTTTCTGACTTGTTTAAAATATCAATTTTTCATATTATTGGTCAGTCATATGGAATTTCAAGGGCTATCAACTAGCTCATTACTTTCTACAAATGTAAAAGTTTCACATGAAGCAGGGGCATAGTAAAGATAGGAAGAAGTGGGGAGGGGAGCATATATCCCATGCCAGTCTATAAAGCTGCTCAAAGAAGCTAGTCATTGCAGCTCCCAGACCTCCCATGGTGGCCGGCCGCAGTCCACAGGAGGGGTAGCACTTGCATAGTGTAGTCGCCTCCTTTACCAGGGACCAAGGCACCGTGCTGATCTGAAACCATGGATAGCACTGAGTCCTATATAAACTATGTATGCCTATATATACATACCTATGAAAAGGATTAGTATATAAACTAGACACCGGAAGTACTGGCAATTATTAAATAATAAAATAGAATGATTAAAACAATATATTCAATGATAAGTATGTAAAAGTGATCTCTCTCCCACTCCACCCCTCATCTCAAAGTATCATTGGAGGTTAATCAACTAAAACTGCAGAAAGCAAAATCCCATAAAGAGAGCTCACATCCGTTCACTAAGCCTAGGGGATGTGGTATGCCTCAGGAGTATATCACAGGATGGGAAGAGTCTCAGAGAATAGATAATGGCATCCATTGCCAGGAGTTCGCTTCTGTAACACTGGCCAGCCCCGAAGGGTTCCACTGCAAGCATAAAGCCCTTTTCCAGCCGTCTTGTGCTTCAATATGCTCTCCTTTCAGGGTGGTGCCCAAAGCATTCAGATGGCTGTCCAAGGAAGCATCATCAAACACCTGTTGTTTACAAGGAAGGGAAAAGACTGTAACTCTCACAGGTAAGAAGTCTAGGATAGGCACTTCAAAGAGTTACTCATTTCATCACAACTCTTATATGCTAAATTGTCAAAGGGATCATCAGGCCCTGAGTTGCCTCAGGAAGGGGACTTCTGCCTTAGACAGAAATGGCTCTGATCTCCCAGAGGGATCGGATTTCATGACTAGGGTTGGTTTCTGGAGTCACTTTCAATGTTCAGTTGCAGGAATAATGTTGACAGCTTTATGCTCTACTGCAGACCACCCTGTCAGGTAAAATTAAACACCAGATCTCAGATGGCACTTGACAATATCTGATAGAAACCCCAACCTAGAAACTCCAGGGAGGTCCAAAAGGGATAATAAATGAAGCATTTGGTACATATTTTGTAGTTGTTTACTTTAAAAATTAGTTTAAATTACATTTTTAAAGAAATTAATAAATCCTTAATAGGCACAAAACTCTATGGTTGACATAAGAGAAAATATAAGAAAGTAAAAGGCATATGTCTGCCCTCAGGCAGGGTAAGTTATCATCCCAAACAGAAACTGTGGATAATACATTCTAAGATCATGCATTGCCAAGTTTCTTAGAATCAGTCAGCAATGGGAGCTCTGTATGCAAGAGATTTATCAAGGGAATGCACTTAGGAGAAACCTGTAAGAACGAAGGGAGCAGAATAGGGAAGGAGAGGGAGCTCAGGAAGAATGTGATTTCGAATGATATCTCACTTCAACCTGATGTGCAGGAATGCTGGGTCTCAATTGCCTGGATTTGATAAGAGAGCTGGGCCTCATACCTCCCACACTAGACAAGCCATGGTTCTGGGCCATCTTTAGGGAGGAAGTATAACTCCTCGTCACAATATTAGCACCTGAAACAGCCATGTCTACCAAGTAAAAGGCAGCCCACAGAATCCAGATGGAATGTGCAGAATATTTGCTACATGCATGTCAAGCATTTGATTTGCTAACTGGCATATAAATATTAAATACAAGGAAATGGGTAATGGTTATTTTATACTTGCTGCACAAAATTTTTCTCTATCTCCTTGGCTTTGAGTTCTCCTTCCTCTGTACTCTCCTAACACTTCTATTCTCATTTACTTTATATTAGGGTTTTGTAGTTCAAATTCCTTGTCACAAATTTCTGTGTTGCCATAGAGGTGGGTGGGTGATATAAATCACAGCTGAGCTCATTAAAAATCTTTATAAGTATTTTCTTCAGAACAAGTTGTCAATGTAAATATTTAGAGAATGAGCCCCTTAAAGTCTATCACATGAAGACTGGCTCCTCTTTCCTGGGAAGGTCTGACAGACTGAGATCACTCAGTTAAGTGAAACGGCTAGACATAGGGCATCTCTTCAAACCCCTGCACCACCACTGTACAGGTGAATGACCAGGGGCAGATTACTCATTTCTCTGTGATACTTTTCACCTCTAAAATGGAGCAGTGATTGTTATTAATCTCACTGGGCCATTGTGAGGAGACAACGAGCTGCCGTGCTTAGCCCAAAAGTGGGCAGAGTGAGAGCCAGATGAGTGTAGCCACAGGTCAGTGAGAGCAAGCAGCAGTGGCCCTCATATTACCTGTAGGCATGATCAGTGGAAGGGGAGGTGTGCATATTAAGAGCAGACAAGTGTATCAGAAATGTGATGGAGGTAGAATGTGAAAATCTGTTCTGGGGACTTTATCACCTGGGGCAGAAAGTTTGTAAAACTGAAATCTAGGAGATAGAACTGAAAAGATTGTTTGGGATTGTGCATATTGAGATAAAGCATTTGGATTCATCCTGTAGGGGTTCAGGGGAGAGAATAGTGTTAAGACTCAATGGCTGATGGTACATGGTGCAGGATTGGCTGAAACACCAGAGACACTATGTGCTACTGTAAGTAAAACAGTATCAAAGAACAATACTTAAAACAGTGTCCAAAACAGTCCCAAACATAAGGACAGGTCGCTGTGGGTTCTGACCCATGCCCTAATAATTGTAAGGTCACTCAGGTTTAAACTAAAACTTAAAAGGGTTTATTTAGCACACAGGACAGTGGGGAAACTCTGAAGAGTCTATAAAGTCACAAGTGGGCTGCCTGCCCCAAATAGTGTGAGCAATTTCGAGTACTCCCAAATCAAAGCCACTCATTCAGGCTGGCGCTGCCCCGCCACCAAAGGCCTGGAGCTGACGCACACTGGGAGGCAGTAGGGGTCAATCAGAAGCAGTGGACAGCTCTCAAAGATGGCCAGACAGAGTACCAGCCACTCATCAACAATGCTGGTCTGCACTGGTCAAGGGTGCCAGTCAGCACTGGTCACCAGGAGGTGGTGACAGAGACACTAATGCTACAGCTTTTTGTGAACCTCTGACATAAACCAATAGTCAACAGCTCTTTGGGACTTTGGCCCAAGTCTAAAGGTACAACTTGCATGTGATATCTGTGGCAGTGTTGAAGCAGCATCTCTGCAAAGTTCTTTGGAGACCTGGAGATCTAAGGTGGTCTAGAGGCCTAAGGAGGTTTCAAGGTCTTGTGGAGGTCTGCTGGAACCCCTGGAGGTCACCTGTTCAATGCCTCTTCTTCAGAGGGTTTCTGCTGAATTATTCTTCCCTTTCAGAGGCCACTAAGAGACTCAAGCTGGCTCCAGCTCTGTCCTATATCTTCTTTAGTCTGCTCCACTCTGCAGGCCTGATTGGACCATTTTTTTTCTGGCCTAAGTGTTTGGTTGGTACTGTTAAGCCAGGCTGCCTGTTTGGCGTAGGGAAATTGCCATTGCCGTCTCAGCGTGGCTGCATCTCCTGAGGCCAGAGGGGCCACACCGCTCACTAATGCTGCCCACCATATTTAGAGTGGCCTGGGCACTGGCAGCCAGAGGCCCACAAGGGCTGCTCACACTGGGGATGGCATGTGGTGAAACTCCAGCAGCTGCAGCTATTGCTACCACTTTCACAGAGGCCCAGGAACTGCCCAAAGGAAGTGGACTTGGTCAGCAAGTGGGAAAATTCCCACTGCTGAGGTCCAGGCAGTCATGCAGGAGCCCCTGGCACCAGCGAGGGGCTGCCCATGGGAGGCAGGCTCAGGATGCTGCCTTAGACCCCCAAAAGCCACCCTGCTGGTTTGGCATGCCATCAGCCTTTCTCACACAGTTCATATCAGGCCAGGCGGGATGCGCCTTGCAGCTGCAGCTCAGTGGCTGATTTGGGGCAGGAAACTGCTGCTGCTCATACCTAGTGGCCTCTGGTCTCCACAGGGTCCCTCTTAAATAAAGATGTCCATTCCAGCGACAGTGACAGGAACAGGCCCTCCACGACATTCTCACAGTGGAGGATGATGATGAAAGAATACAGTTTCTGCTGTAGTCAAAAGGGAACATAGTAAGGGAGGTCCCAGCACATTGCAAGGTGACAGAGCATGCAGATGTTTTCCTACAGCTGCCTCCCGCATGACAGTTTACGTGCAATAAGCAAGCAGGAGCAGGAGCGCGCCCTGGTGTCCTCACTAGCGGATATCCTGTGGGCCGCAGGAGCTGCGCAGAAGGTCACCATCTGTCTTGTCACTGAGGACATCTACATTGCTTCGACCCCTGAGTATTTCAGAGATGACTTCACGGAACGGGTGAGTAGCCCCTCCCCATCCTGTCCTGTGGGAAGTCTGAGCTCATACTAGACTCACCTGGAAATGAGAGGGAGCACACCAATGCTCTTTCTGTGTCTGATGTGGCCAGATGCACTTCCAAGGAGGGAGATTGAGAGCTGTAAGTGGCCCAAGCAGCCCAAGTGTAGAATTCTAATGTGAATTTCTAGTTCCACAATTCACTGTGATCAACAATATCCCATACCAGAAGCTTGTTCACTGTCTTAAAACATAGCTAAATTCTACATACTAAGAAAAAAATAGGTTTCTGTTTTTACCACTGAAGATAGCCTATTCATTTAAAATAGAATATAAAAATGCTGCCAGTTGTTACCAAGCTTTACCATATATATGCTTTGCAAGGTCTTTTATAAAATAGTATGTCAGTTTTTAGCAATGTGCATTTGCACTGAAGCACCCCCTGGAGCTAATTGTGACCTGACAACTTTTAAGATGTGATTTTCATATTCCTCTTCATTTTTATCTTCTATTTCTGATTTACAGCTGTGTCTGTTTGAACTCTTAGAGAAGGAAGCCACTGAGAAATTCATCTATGATCATTTACGATGTGTAAGTATTTAAGTGTTAAGTGTTGAGATAATTTTTTATGTTAAACTGATCTTACAGAAAGTTTTCTTTTTTTAAGGAACATATTCCTAATGATGCTTGTTTAAAAACTTCAGGTCATTTCAAGGGCCAACAAAGGATAGAACAAGGAATAGGAAAGCCCACCTCTAGCTCCCTATGGCCTTAAAAGAGGCCCCATCACACATAATCCCACTCACAAATGCCTGGTTCTCCTAGGCTAATGAAACCCAGAGAATATTACTATAGGGAGAACATACAGTATTTTTTGTGTATGTGAGTGTGGGATGAGAAAGCATTCAAACAGAAAACTAGTTAAACGAGGTCCTGGCTTAAACAGTCAATTGACCATTCACACCGACCCCAGCGAAGAGTGACTTTTGGTCTCAGAGGGGTAGGAGTGTTTCTCCTTCCACACCATTTCCTCTCCTATTGTGCTTCCTCACCACCCCATGGGAGGGTGGGGGCCACCTGGTGGGCTGAGGTATTGAGATATAGGAATGACACTCAAAGTCCAAGTAGAGTGGAAGAGAGGCTGAGAGGGCTTGTACCATTGGAGATGCAGTCCCCTTTTCCAGACCAGCCTCACATTTATTGGGCATCAGACTCAGGGGAGGTGGGCAAGTGCGTGGGGGGAGGCACAAGAGTCTGTATTGTGCTGGGGATGTGGATTGGAGATGCATAATTTTCTGGCACAAGCTAAGGGAGAAAAAATAGCTAGTGCCTGGGGACTGCATTGTTGCTGCTGATCAAAACATCCTATGTCTAGTTCCTGTTTATACTTAACTTTCTGACAAGGTGGTCTAGCTGGTTATGCTAATCTGGTCAAATCATCTGTCGGCTATTTGTAGCAGATGCTGGTTTTTCCAGTATATTCCTCAAGACTTTTGTCCTGGTGAGGGTCCCTCTACTCTACATTTTGGCTTGACCAGCAGAAACTTTAGCAGCCAAGACAATCTCCTGAGAACAGGGATGACTGGGTAATCCCCAGGTGGGACACAGTAAGGGACAATAATGGTAGCAAATAAAGGGAGCTTTTTAAAGATTCCTTGGCAGAGAAAGAAATCAAAGTTGATTTTCTGAAGAATCGTAAAGTAATGATGTTAAGGCAGAAAGGCACCTAGCAGGACAACCACGAAGCCATCCAACAATGATTCATAAGGCCCACTGCTCCTACCCTCAAAAAGTGATGGAGGCAGAAAACTCTGGCATAAGTTCTCAGTCACATACTAGCTATATGATCTTGGTTAGCCTAGTGGTGCACCCCCTCCCAGGCCTAACTGCCCCACCATCTACTAGGTCTGTGTGGTAGGCAAAATGATTACCCAAAGATGTCTCTACTCTACCCCCTAGAACCTGTGAAAAAATGTTCTATGGCAAAGGGGAATTATGTTTAGCTAATCAGCTAACTTTAAAATAGGGAAATTATTCTGGACTACCCAGGTGGGCCCAATGTAATCACAGGTCCCTCTACATAGAAAGGACAGGCAGAAGAATGATGTGATAAAGAAGACGAATATGAAATGGAGGTGAGTCACAAATCATGAAATATGGGCGGGGCCATTAGAAATTGAAAAGAGCAAAGAAACAGATTCTTCCCTAGAGCTTCTGGAAGGAAATAGACCTGCTGACATGTTTAAACCTATTTTGGACTTCAAACTTTCAAGCTATAAAGTAATGAGTTTGTATTACTTAAACTATTAAATGTATGATAATTTGTTATAGTAGCAATATGAAACTAATAAAGTCTGTATGATATATTTTAAATACCTGACATATAATCTTAAGCTAGGAGCCAATTTAGGGATTGGTTTACACAGAAAGAGGAACTTTGTAAGAAAGGTCTCTTCCCTCAAAGAGAGACAAACCCTTCTTTCACTACATTCCAACCTCTTAAATCCAAGCTAGGAAGATCTGTTTTAATAAGAAGGATACCTACAATGTACTCTTGAATGTAGTCCAAGTTGTGAATCAGTGGCTTATCCTCATTGCAAGACATGTTTTGGGGGTACACATAGGTGAAACCTCTGCTCTTAGCCTGAAAAAATAATCTGGGCATTAAATTTATTTCAGAGAGGGATTGGACATTCTTTATGTGTAGAAAGCTATGTTTGAGGTTTATTTCACCAAAGTGTCATTCTAGAGGCTGGAAGGCTTTCATTTGTGGCCTTGCCTTGGAATCTATTCTCCAATCTGAGCATTCCAACATTGCCAGCTCACAGTTACTGAGGATAACAGATTAATCTATGAAAGAAAATATCATACATTTTAGCAGAAATTTCCCTGTCACAGTGCCTTTACAAAAGAGGTTTTAACTCTGGAAAATCAGTTAAGGAGCTTCTTTTCCAGCAGGTAGAGTATTGACGGTTAGGCTAAAATAAGACATACTGATAAGGGATCCTGAATGTTGTTTGGGCAATTTAGATTTGACCCTGAAGATCAAAGGGCACCTTTGGAAAGTTCTGAACTGAAAGTAAACTAGTCAAGAAAGAGAGATGAGAGAAGCACTTTAAATAGAGACAGACATTGATATTGCTGTGGCTCTAGCATAGTCCAAGAATCATGATTACATTATTTCATTTAACTTTTGAGTTAAATGGTGTTTTTATCTGCAACACAGATTGGGAGTTTGAAACTCAAAGGAATTAATGAGTAGTAGAAATGGGTTTGTACCTAAGTCTGCATAACTCTAAAGTTATCTCTATAAACGTTCTCTGTAACCGATGAGTTTAAAAGCCAGTCACCAGGCAGTATGCACGGATGAGACAAAATAAGGAGGGTCAGCCAAGAGCAAGTCAGAGGGCTAGGGCTAGGATGGACACTGGAAAGTGAAGAAGAAAGATACACTACATCCTAGCCATGACTTTAAAGACAGTCACATGACAGACGTGGAGGAAAGAAAGTAAATTAAAAGTGAAGAGAAAAACAATAACAAAAAAAACCAAACAAAACAAAAATGAAGAGAATGGTGGTGCCATTGGTAAGCCTGAAGCAAAGAAAGAAGAAGCTCTAGAGGGTGAAGATGACCTAGGAAACAGCTAAAAACCAACTGTCTCAGGTTGTAATCCATGAGTTCTTGCCCATGGATTGACACTCAACAACAGGGCTTTAAACTGCATATGGATTTTCTTATAAACAGGGACTGTAAACATATGATATCAATGAATAGGTACAGTAGTTCAGTACTTTCTCTTCCTTATGATTTTCTTGAACATGTTTTTTCTCCACTTACTTCATTGTAAGAGTACAGAATAAATACAACATATGTGTTATTTAACCATAGTACTGATAAGACTTCAGCTATGTGTGGTCATTTTAAGGGAATCAAAAGTTACACACAGATTTTCTACTGCTGGGGAGGACTGGCACCCTCAGCCTCCACATTGCTCAAGGTTCAACTGTACAATCTGCATTACTTCAGGCAAACATTCTTTTTTTTTTTGTTTTGTTTTCTAAATAGTTCAAAGAAGAAGGAAGCCATGGTGTCATTCTATTTCTTTACAGTCTAATCTTCTCTAGAAGATTTGAAAGGTAACTTCTCCAAATACTTGCACAGGTGTTTCCTATAAGTCTGGGGTCACATAAACTATATACTCTTGATTTGAAAAGTGTTTTCATGGACTGTAGAAACGTATGTATGATTTTTTCCCTAGTGGGTACTGTTGGTCTGCCCTCTTCTATAGTTATTTTAATGGGCAAGCAGAAATCATCAGTAAAATTTGAATCTGCTTTTTTAGCACAGTGGTGGGCTCCTTCTCTTTATGGTTAGTTATTGGCAAACAACAACAAGCTTATTTGCACACATTTCATAAATGAAAATGACTTATTATTTATATGTACAATAAAGTAGACCCACAGTTATTATTTTTGTCTCTATGATATATGCTTAGCACTGTGGGAAATACAAATAAAAGAAGATATAACAGGTTCTAGTCTGGGAGAGACAAGAAATACCCAAAGAGGTGCTAGGCAAACCCCAGGTGGTACCTGATGTGCCAAATAAGCTGTGAACCAATGAGCCTTAGTGGATTCCAGAAAGGGAAGGGCCCAGCATAGAGAGAAGGAAAGCTTGGATGAAGTGGAGTTTCTTTATGAGCTGGAAAACAAAGACAAGCTTCTGAGAGTCCAAGGGAGATAGTGAGCCCCCGAAGGGAAGATTTAAAAGCCTTGAAGCAGTGTTCCTGAAATTTGTCTTTTGCATATCACCATCACATTTTTATGGCTTATATTATTTGCTTAACAGTTTACTTTACTCAAAGCACATTTAAATATTAACCTCTTTTTAAATATTAATATCCTCTAAATCATAGAATTGCTGTGCTAAAGAAAATATATTAAAATAAATACATCATCGTAAGGATTAATGTTCAGATATATACAACTTTGCTACACTTTGGGAAATCCTGCCCCAAGTTATATCTGAAGCTACCGAGACACTCACCATGTTTCATTCAAGTCTTTGGGTCTTATTTGCTGAAGGCCATGACCCCAATCCAATGTTTTAAAAAAATCTAACCAAATTTATTGACTTTACTAAATAATTTGTGAATCAATCAGCATCCTGTCTAGCTAGCAGAAAGACACATAAAAGATGTACAAAATCAAACATTGTTATAGGTAGAAAGACAGCAAGACAAGGGAAGAGGGAACTATTTCATCTTAGGTGATCTAATGGTAAAAGTCTTTTAACTCTCTCATATACTTTTGGGGAATGAAAAAGATAACTTCTTGGTGCTGGCCAGAAAATTCCATGCTGACCATTCAGGACTTCATTCCTGGGGGAGACTGTAACTACTACGGGCTTGGAACCACACTACTTTTGGCTTGCTGTCGTCCAAAATATGTTTCTTCATGAACACATATAGCTCACATGCCAGTATCCAGTACCTCCTCCTAAATGACAGCAAGAGCCACATCAATGTAAATCCTGAATTTATATTGTCAAGAGTGGGTCTCAACTCCTGTTCCCTGTCTAAATAGTCAAAGCTGCCCTTCTGTAGCTCTTCCACAGTCAAGAAATGGGCACAATTCCCAAATTGGTATCTTTCCTTTGAATAGTCCGCTCTACTCTCTTCAGTCAACACTCTCGATTTGGAGCATCTTGCATCTCCACTCAAATCCAAACATCCCTTGTCACCCAGAGCAACACATCTCCACCAAGCCTACCATCTGCCAGAGCACACACAGGAGTTTAACGGGTGACCCAGAGGTCTGCATCATCGCCCTTCTGTATCCACCTTCTGCAGCCCTTATCACTCATGTCCTACATCACCCTTAGCTCCGCCTCTCACTTCTGCACTCTGGTCCTGGAAAATTCCCTGGTTGGAGATAAGAAAAGCTGCTGCTTCATTTTGTAGAGTGAAGGGTGGAGGGGCTGCAAGTTCCTGAGGAATCATTGTTTCGGACTTCAAGCTGGTGGCCTCTTCTGTGCCGTAGGCTGCATGAGGACCTAGACGTCTCCACTACTTATCTGCTACAGCCAACTGCTGGAGGCTTTCTGTGCAGGCAGGTGGGTTGGAAGACTTTGCTGCTTTATTATAGAATCTGAATTCTAGAGACCTGTGCTTTGACTGAGCATATTTTCTTCTTAAATGATGAGTTATCAAGTTATCTTTGAAAGACTAAAAATTTCTGAGTTTATCAGAATCTACCTTCCAATTTCCATCACTGCATTTCTTAGCTTACCTTTCAGAGCTCTGCATCACCAAGTTCTAGAAACACTAGAAATTACTTTGATAAGGCCCACCAAAAATAGCCAGGGGAGAAAAATATCAGACCATAAAAATATATGAACTTCACATTTCTCAAATCACAGCTATAGAATCCAGCACTGAAAAGAGATGCAAAGGTAGAGAAGGGCAAAAAGATCAGAGCAGAACACAGGGTGAATTGTAAGGGATGGCTTAAGAAAAAATGGCAACTTTTTTCTTACTACCAGATATTTATGACATGTTTTCCCAGAATTATAAATTGTGTGATTTTGTTCTTTTTAGTAAAAATGGTAATTTTAGGTGGTGATTAGTGATTCATTCTTTTCAGTAAAAATGATAATTTTAAGTGATTAAAATTAATATTAAAAGAAAGAAAAAATTAAGTCCTTATTTCATTGCTTCCTAAAGTGTAAATATTTGTAAAATATGTCATCTAGGCCATTTTGAACATGATTTTGACTGGAAGAGCAAGTCCCAATGTATTTGATGGCTGTCAGAAAGGAAAGAGTCAGGAATTATTACGCGGTATCCTCGCACGCAGCAACATTGGCTACTTGCAGTGGGGTAAGGATGCTTCAGTGGATGACAGACTTTCACAGGTGAGTGTATTCTGACTCACAGTCACACAGAGTGTCCATATTTTGAGGCTTTAAAAAAGTCTCTGTATTAAAGCAATTCAAGCGGAGCCTTACTTTTTCCTTACTGCTTACCCCCACTTCACATGTACACCACACACACACACACTCACACACACACAGATGTTCTGGTTTTACATGGAAATATCAAAGTCTGATTGTCTCATATTTTAATGTATATTTTCTTATACCAAGAACAAATAAGTAATACAAGTAATAAGCAATTATTGGGAAGAACTATTATAGCCCCCCTTCTTAGAAACTGGTACTGTAAGCAACTAATGCATAGTCTTCCCAAGCCAGTATTTGTGCAAATAGATGTATATATTCTATGCACTGTTTGAAACTTTTGAAAAGTCATATGGTAAAGGGAACCCCATTTATAAGGCTCCCCTCAAAAAGCTTTCAGCTCAGGTGATATACCTCTAACAATCAGAAGGTAAAAATGTGCCATTGAATAGCACATTGTTATCTCAGGAGAGACAACAAACAGGAGAGATAGTAAGTATACTGACCCTCAGGCCACAAATCAGAAGTACCTCAGTGATATGTTCACAAAAATTTTCATCCCAACTTTAAGGAAAGGCAAGGAAGAGGCTGTAAAAAAGCAACATTCTTTGGTCTTGAGTGCCTTACACCAGTCAGGATGAAGCCAGTGTAGGAGCAAACACCCCAACCCTGTGGCCCCAATGCCTCCCAACCACAAGGGCCAAATGAGACACAAGGTCCCTCCTGTCCTTAGTTCCAGTTCACAGTCCCTTTCACCTGCACAAATTTCATACTTTATGCGGTGCTTTCATATCCATATTTTTATTAGTCTTCCCTCCTGCTGTTGATTCCAGCTAAAATGTGCTCTTTAGGAAATCAGCCTCTCATAACATATACAAGCCATGATTCTGGTGACAATTGGAAATAGTGCCTGACTAGACCAGAACATTTTGTGTGCAACTGTGTTTTAAAATTTTGCTTCTTTTTTGAGTTTGTAATCTTAGTCCATCATAGAAACTGAGATGTGACAGATAGACTGAAAGTAAAAGAAATCAACCAAATCACCCAAGGGTTAATCCTTCCAGAAAAACTTCTCTTTCTTTCTCACATAAAATCACCCAAGGGTTAATCCTTCCAGAAAAACTTCTTTTTCTTTCTCACATAAATATATTCTTATCTTCCAAAGCCTGCTTTACTCATTTAGCACAAATACCTTTATATGGCCATGAGTATATGCCCTTCACCAAATTCAGTGGATGCGAAGAGTTGCATTGTTTGCTTTGACTACATCTTAGGCAGAGAATAGATTGGTTATTATATCACTCTTAGGCAGAGAATAGATTGGTTATTATATCACTCTTAAGATAATTTGAGAATTCAACTTAATGTTTTATATGTACAATAACTAAGAAAACTAAGCCTACATGTTTCATTTTACATACTTTTCTTTTCTTTCAACTATGCATGTCCATGGCCAAGAAATCTATTTATTCAAAGACTCAATTTAGTGAAAAACTGTGAGATACACTGGTAGCAAATTTTAAGTGGCTCAAGCCACACAAATAATTTTAGTTTTTTGACTATTATGACAATGTTCTTTCACAAAATTGTGTTACTATATCCTTATTATTATATTTCAGTCACTGAAGTAGAAAATTTGTAAACTTTTGTCTGTCTCTGCATTACCTCTGAAACATGTATTACATATTTGAGTCTAAGCTTTACTTCAGCAGTAATACATGTCCCAGACTTGTTATTATACTTTTTTCCCCTTTAACACATATTTAAATAAATCAAGAAACATCTTCTTTTTTAAGTTGACCCTGTGTGCCACTAACTTTCATAACACAAGCATCTTGTATCACACTTTGAAAACCTGGAATAAAAATGAGGGAGTTCCTGTAACATATGGAAACAACCCTGGCCAGGAAACCAGGACACTTATCTGGCAGCTAACTGTTTGCCCTGGACATATAACTGGACTCTCACAATTCAACTATGTCATTCAAGGGCCAACTGTTCTTACACTGTCACTGCAAAAAGGATGTAAGTGTGCTCACTGGTGGCACAGCCTGTTAAAGTGCAGCACTGTGCAGCTCTCCACAGCCACTGCAGTAGTTTGAGCCCTGGGCAGGGGGGTGACCCACATTGCATGGCAGACCTATCCTGTCTCACCTGCTGCGCCTACTCCCATCAGCACTGTATTCAGTCAATCTACCTGTTCTGGTCCCCACTCTGGGATGGATCCTCTCACACACCTGCACCTCTGGCCTGTACTCCAGTTGTTGTATGCATGAATAAATAAATCATTTATTTTTTTAAGGATTTAGGTAATTAATATTGGAGAATAGTGGTCTTTACACTGACTGATGATTGAAATCTCTTGGGGAGTGCTGAATTTTTAGTAGATTTATTTTTTTGGAGCAGTTTTTAGGGTCACAGTAAAATTGAGTGAAGGAGGGGCCTCCCTGGTGGCACCAGTCACCATGGCATGAGTTTGATCCCCAGCCAGGGAACTAATCCACATCCTGTCTTGCCTGCTGCTCCCCTCAGCAGTTTATTTCAGTAGACTCACCTGTTTTGCTCCCCACTTTGGTGAATCCTCTCACAACCCCCCACCTTTGGTCTATACTACATTTCTTGTATGCATAAGTAAATAAAAATAAATTAATGTACCATGGTTTGTTTATCCATTACCTACAAAAATTGAGTGGAGGATACAGAGATTTGTATTCCCTGTTTCTACACATGCATAACTTCCCTACCAGAGTGATATATTTGTTACAGTTTTCACATAGACACACCATTATCAAAAATCCATAGTTTACATTACAGGTCACTTTTGCTGTTTTACATTCTATGGGTTTAAAAACATGTATAATAACGTGTATGCCACTATTGTGACATCTACATAGAGTGATTTCACTAACATGAAAATCCTCTGTGCTCCACCTATTCAACTGATCTTCATCCCTGACCCCTGACAACCACTGGTCTCTATGGTCTCCATAGTTTGGTCTTTTCCAAAAGGTTGCCGAATTGTCATCAGACAGCATATAGTGCTTTCAGAGTGGCTTTTCACCTAGTAGTAGTCATTTAAGTTTCCTCCATGTCTTCTCACAGCTTTAAAGTTCATTTCTTCACATGACCGAAAAAAATGTTGAAATGTTGTGAATAATATTCCATTGACAAATAATATTTCATCCATACAGCATGGTTTATTTATCCACTGCCTACAAAAAAAAATCATGGTTGCTCTCAAATTTGTCAGTTATGAATACAGGTTTCCCTGCTACCCCAAAGTAGAACATCTTTGGTATGCTATTTTTCAATTCTGGGACTGTTGCTGCCACTAATTTATATAGAAAAAAATTTAAGGGCCTTCCCTGTTGGCACAAAGAGGTTAGGATGCAGTACTGTAAGCTAGCCACAGCCGCTTCAGTGTGAATCCCTGGTCCGGAGGAGAGCCACATGGCGTGGCAGACCTTTCCTGACCCGCTCGCTGCTCCCTCAGCAGTGTACTCTATGGATCTACATGTTTTGCTCCACACTCTGTCTCTGGTAAGTCTTCTCACTGCTCCTGCACCTCTGGCCTATACTCCAGTTCTGTATGCACAAATAAATAAATCTTTTAAAAAAAGAAAGAAAGAAAGATAAGAAAATTTTCAAGCATTTCCAGACCAAAACTAACCTACCGAATCATAACACATAGGAATGTTCAACTATTACACAGCAGGGGAAACCAATAAAGCTACTGTAAACATCCTTTGCAGGGTTTTGTGTAGACTTAAGCTTTCAACTCCTTTTGGTAAGCATCAAGAAGTACAATTATTGGATATATGATTAGAGTATGTTTAGTTTTGTAAGAGACCACCAAACTGCCAAAGTGACTGTAGCCCTCTCCACTGCCACAGCAGTGAGCACAAGTTCTTATTGTTCCACATCCTCGCCAGCATTCTGGATTTGGCCATTTCAACAGGTATGTAGTAGTATCTCTTTGTTATTTTAATTTGCACTGTCCTGGTAATATATAATGTGGACCATCCTTGCACTTGCTTATTTGCTTCTCTCTATATCTCCTTTTTAAAAATTAAAGATTTATTTATTTATGCATAAAGAACTTGGGTACAGGCCAGAGGTGCAGGGGCTGTGAGAGGATTCACCAGAGAAAGAGTGGGGAGCAGAATAGGCAGATGTTGAAAGTACACTGCTGAGGGGAGCAGCAGGCGGGTCAGGAGAAGTCTGCCATGCCATGTGGTCACCTCCGGGGCAGGCATGAATCGAACTCATGCGGAAGTGGCTTAAGCTTCTTAGTGCTGTGCTTTAACCTGCTGTGCCACCAGGGAGGGCCCATACATCTTCTTTTTGTAAGATATCAGCTAAAGACTTTGGCATACCTGAAGGGTTGTAAAGCTACCAGTGCCCAGGTTATTCCCCAGTGCAGTGTCTCTTTCATGAATGTGGGACCTGTGAGGTGGTCATGGGCAAACAGTTAGAAGGCCTGCCCGGGGCTTAGAGTTCTACTGTTGTTGCCTTGAACTTAATAATTTTTTAACAACACGTGCACATTTTCACTTTGCACTAGGATCTACTTATGTAGCTAGTACTGCCCAAAGACTATTTGAAATTATCTGAGGATCAGAATTTACATATATATATATTTACATAAATCTTCATCTTATACATTTTTTATCTTGGCTGTAATCCCTGTGGACTTCTACAACCAATTCACCCATGTGCCTCACTATAGTCCCGTATACTCTTCCTGTGCCAATTTTGATCCTATTCCCCTCTCCTCCCCTGTAAAATGTCTCTGGTTTATAGTTGTTGATTCAGTTGTTCTTTTATTACAATTACATTTGGGGGGATCAGAATTTTTTAAAGCATGCAGGTAATTCTAATGTGCAGCAGGGCTTAAGAACCTCGGTTCTCGAGAAGGACAATTCAGCTCTGGCACTACTGGCATGTTATGCTGG